TCCACTAATATATATATATTTGAATAATATGTGTGTTCATTAAATAACCAACCCTGCTACATAATTAACTAAAATTGTGTGCATTTCCACTCACAATGGAAATAAATCGTGCAAACCTGGATTTCAAGTGAGAGCAACGAGATACCTCAAATAGGGCAGGAGGGGCCTCCTCAATATCGAGTTTATCCAGCAACTTATTCAGGATCGAGTCAGCGAGATCGTAGACGATGTCGTCGTTAGATTTCCCGGAGCCTCCGCTTGCCATTCTTGGCTGCACGTCTATGATGGTGCCCACCAACTTGTTGGTTTCCTCTACCTAAACACGTTGCTTATGTAAAAATCAATTGCACATACCTAGTTGTTGTTCCACACAGAAATTGATTATACAAGTTAAAAGTTAAGTTTAAACTAATTATGAGTAAAAAATTAGAGAGTTAGTACACCACCTAAAAAGTACAAGTTACAACACACAATATGGCATTAGGTAGGGTAAATGTAAGCGATCGTGCATCAGCTTTCAAATATCACTCCGACGTCATAACTAAATCCAAAAAACACGCAAAAAAATCAGTACCCGCACGCACACACGCACGCGCGCATGCTGGCAGCGAATGCACGCACGCACGCACGCACGCACGCACGCACGCACGCTGGCATCGAATGCACGCACGCACGCACGCACGCACGCACACACGCACGCACACACGCACGCAGCGGGTGCACGCCGAACGATGGGTCTCTGCGATACACACGGCGATACCTGGAAGGCGATGTTGGCATTTCTGTGCATCCCGAACACCTCCGGCTCGTCGATGATTGGCAGGTCGTTGATGTAGTCTCGGTATTCTCCCAGCCTCTGGTGTTCGGGGGCGTAGTAGACGCCGGAGTCCGAGTACTTGTAGCTGCTCTGTATCGTGTTCGGAGCAAAGAATCGCCTCAGCACGGTTCTCAGGCAGCGCTGGTCCCAGAAGTCCGTCACGCGACCGCCGTATGTGATCTGTCGAGATGCACGGGTAAGTAAGTATGTAAGTAAACTTTATTTTCATCGGTACAGGACATACAGGGTAACATGAGCTCTTGAAATAGCTCTTAAACCGATACCAAACAAATGTATGATAACAGAATATATGGTAGTATGACATGACTTAGAATTTCTTTTGTTACACATCAGATTTGAGACAGATAAAATGGTTAAAACTGATGAATGATGGGGGATCGATTATTCGACGTGCATTTCACGCGATTCCCACGAAATAATATGCCGTAAGTGATCTGTCAAGATGCACCCGGGGTTATCGGTTATTCGACGTGCGTTTCATGGAAATCGCGTGAAATGCACGTCAATAATCGGCGATGTACGCAGTGTACGCCGTGGATTTTTAAACTTGCAGCAAGGTTGAATATGCCTGCCCTTACCTCACCAGTAATGTAGATGAGAGCATTCCACGGAATAGTCGCTTCTTCACAGAATATTTTTAGATTGTCCAGCGCACACTCACGATCACTGTCACTGAACTCGTACTAACAAACAGTAAAGCATGAGACATTAGTTAAGCAAATTAGACACACACATACAGACAAACATACAGATTATAACATATAAGCAGCTGTACTGTACGCTTCAGCTAGATTTTGTCTATAGATGACCTCTGCATGATTAAAAATCTAGTAACAAAAGTACGTAACAGTGCAAACCTTTATGTTCCAACCCAACGGACCAAATTTCTTTCTCTCCTGAATGATAGCGTGAAAAAAGCAGACTCCAAATACAAGTTTCCTCCAATCATTTTTCAGATCTTCAGCCATATGAAACCACAACATGTGTTTATCAACCACAAAAAAGAAGCTCATGCTATATTTCTGTAACTGCTACATCAGTCTAGTACACCTAATAATATCATCATTCTAGTGCCTCTAATTATAATAGCACTTTGGATTTTGTCTAATTAGTATCAAGACGTTATATATATATCAGGAGTAGATAATAGGGAGGAGTGTGACATCAATAAACAAGGGAAATTCGTC